GGGGCCGCCCCCGGCTCGGGGGCTGCCTGTTCCCCGTTACAGGGGGCTGGGAGACAGCCCATGATTTTAACCTCCCCCCCCTCCGGCCCGTTTCTCCTCAGGAAATTAGTAGGTTACAGATTTAGCACAAGAGAATAAGAGAGGTTTACGTTTTAACCATTGCTGATTCGACGTATCATTAACTGCTCAGATTTATCCAGTGTGATCGCAGCGAGTCCTTCTTAACATGATGGGAGGCAGCATCTGCTCTTGTATGCTCCCTGCCCCGATGCAGGGCCCCCTTTCCAGCGCTCCAGTGGCAGAAGGCAGCAGCCCCACCGTGGCCCATACCTTTCTCCTTCCCCAAGAAGCGAAGAGCAGCGATTTCAGAGAAGGTGCAGCCTCCTAAGAAGACCGCGAGGATGATGCGCTGAGACTCCCAGGCAGGACTGTCCTCCACAGCACTCTCTGGAAGGAGCAAAAAAGCGTCGTTAACCTGACCAGCCTGAGGCCTGCCCGCCCCAGGAGCCCCAAGCGCTGGCATTACCTGTAACAGAAAACTCATTGCCATTGAGCAGTCGCACAACTTCCTCCAGGCCCAGCCAACTTTTGCGCTCCAGCACCTAAAAGGAGATGGACAGGGGGATGCAGGCTAGGGCACGGAAGAGCCACGCGCAACAACTACACTAGGCATATCTCAGGAGTCAGACCCCGGGCTACTTGCTGGCCCAGAAGCAAGGCGCCAGACAAGCAGATGAATACTGCCATGCCTCTCCATCAGGGAACTGGAGCAGCACTTCCAGGCCCAGCCCTGGGCAGAGGATCGTCCTTCAGACCCCCTACAAGGATACCAGAGGCACTTGGGCTAAGGCTCACGAGGGAGGTAGGACTTTCCTCAGGGAGGACTCGCAGTGTCTTCCCAAGGGCAGACAGACTCACCTGTTCAATGATCTTGCAGCTCAGGGGGACGTAGGCCCCACTGAAAACATACGCCATATCCCGTGGCATTTTCAGGTCATACTCTCCATCCACCCGGGGAATCTGCAGAGACGCATATTACTCAGGGTGCGGGAGCAGTTTGCTCGCTCTGGGCTTCACCTACCACATCAGATGCATAAGTTGATGAGGAGAGACAGACACTCAAAGCACGCCTGTGTCTCCATCTCCTATCCCTCCTCCCTGGCCACCAACAGCCCAGGATCAGGCAAATACAGGGCACAGCGGGCTCCGCGTCAGACTGAGTCCCAGAGACTGCAGACATCACCTCTCCACTGCCCCAGAACCGAGAGGGCACAGTGCACTCCCACAGCATCAGGCAGCTACATCCCACACAACTCCTGCAAGCAGGCAGACACCCAGCATTGCTCTTAGAGCAGATCCAGAGTATTCACAGCATGCAATACGAGGCCATGGCAGCTTGCACAGGGGTTATCCTTTGATTGGAGCACCTGGCATTTCACTGCGTAGGTGGAGCCCAGAGACACAGCATATCATAAAGTCTGCAGTCTCCCTGGTGTCAAGGGGAGAAGCAGCTCTGGTTGTCCTGTGAAGCGAGCGTGCCCCTGGCTGCCAAGGTCTTGGGGAGCCCAGAGCTTTCAGAGCCAGGCACAGTCACAGTCACAGACCAACCAGACCCCTCTGCCAACAGCGGATATGTGGACATAGCAGCAGGCCAGCAGCCTCAAGACATACCAACCCCAGCTTCTTGCTTATGCCTCGAAAATTGCTCTTCCTGGCCAAAGAATTAAACGCATCTGTGATTTTTCCTGGAAAGCAAGGCAAGAAGAAACGGCTCAGAGCCTTAGGATTCATTACTAGGGGCAGGAGCTGGAGACTCCTAGCTGCAGGCAGGGTAGAGTGAGGCACGGTGCAGAGCACCTGGCTCTGGAAGAGAAGGGGCAGCAGTGCTTCCCAGTCCTGCCACCCCCAGAGGAAGAGCCAGTTGCCTTGTTTGTAGCAGCCCTGGGCACAGCAGGGGCACCACCTCTGGGGACGTGCTCCATGCCTGGGGCATCTGGGTTTGCCATGTACTTCCAGGACACAGACCATGAAACACCAGGTCTCTGTGACTGTCTGCCCCCTCTGAGCTTCCCCACAGCTCAGGCTTCCAGGGCACTTGAGGGGCAGAGAGAAGCCTGTCTCTCACCTGCGGCTCGGTCTGTCACCAGCTTGCTGACTTTGCTCTCCACAGCAGTCAGGGTCTCTCCAGGAGACTGCTCAGTCAGCAGCCCGATGCGCTTGAGGTTGTGGAAGGTCAGCAAGTGCTCAGGCCCGTAGCTCTGGGAAAGGGGGCAGTGGGATGAA